TAGTAAGGCACTTGTTACTAGAAGCGATGCACTTGTTTCTACTAGCTTCTTTGCTCCTAGTAGTAAGGCACTTGTTACTAGTAGCGATGCACTTGTTTCTACTAGCTTCTTGTTACTACAGAGCAAACTCACCGGCGACACTTCGAGACTGAAAGATGACACCTCGAAGGTGACCCATTTGGTGTGTCGCAGGAATTCAGCAGGACCGAGACTTGTGCGCGCAACATCCTGAACGCGATGGCTTCAAGGGGTCTGGGGCCTGAGGAAATGGCTGTTTTTATTGAACAGACTTCCCTATTCTAGAAGGAAGGTGTGCCACCGTAGCTGCATGTTCCCGAGCCATCCGCGAGCACAGAGGCCGTTAGCCACGTGGCTCATAGAGGGCCGTGTGAGAACCTGATCCACTCACGCGCACATGGTTGAAACGAACACACGCTTTCATGCTGTCGATGATGCGCAATTGGTTTAAAGACTCTAAGACGTCAGCCTCGGTGCTTTCATTTTTCATAGGTCTTTGCAACATATCGGGGCCATCAGTCAAGAATCTGGCCCTAGTAGAGGACTTGGTAGACTCTGGAAAGGCATACGCCATACCTGACTTCGGTGCTTTCATGGCCGTTTGATCTCACACGAAGCTGCTCCCTCGGCCGCACGGCTGGAATTGAGCTCGACGGACGTGAAAGATCGACAGGTCGTGTGATGCACTTGTTCCTAGTAGCGATGCACTTGTTTCTACTAGCTTCTTGTTACTACTAGTAAGGCACTTGTTACTAGTAGCGATGACTTGTTCCTAGTAGCTTCTTGTTACTACTAGTAAGGCACTTTTTACTAGTAGCGATGCACTTGTTACTGTCACTAGTAGTAGCGATGCACTTGTTACTACTAGCTTCTTGTTACTACTAGTAAGGCACTTGTTACTAGTAGCGATGCACTTGTTCCTAGTAGCTTCTTGTTACTACTGGTAAGGCACTTGTTACTAGTAGCGATGCACTTGTTACTACTAGCTTCTTGTTACTACTAGTAAGGCACTTGTTACTAGTAGCGGTAGCGATGCACTTGTTGCTACTAGCTTCTTGTTACTACTAGTAAGGCACTTGTTACTAGTAGCGATGCACTTGTTTCTACTATATATATAGCTTTTTGTTACTACTAGTAAGGCACTTGTTACTAGTAGCGATGCACTTGTTTCTACTAGCTTCTTGTTACTACTAGTAAGGCACTTGTTACTAGTAGCGATGCACTTGTT